CCAAGAAGTGTTGTGCGTCTTCGGGGGAGGCTCAGAAAAGTTCTCAGAAGGACCGGGGGACCTCCGAGCCTTGTGAGAAGGCCCGCCTCACCACCCCCCCGCCCAGGGAATGCGAAGGGTCACGTGTCTTGGGCTCACTCCATGAGCAAGCAAAGCCACGTCATATGTTTTGCTGTTGGGCTGGGGCCCAGGGGCAGACACGCTCCCAGAAGACATCCAGAAAAGGGTCACGCATCAACGGACTTTGATCCGTCCCTGGCCCGCCCGCTGTGTCTTGATGCACGGGCCACCTTGGCCTCGACCCCGTCCCCGTTGGTCCAGCAGTTCCTTCTGAGTCGGTTTTTGATGGCCCCTGGGCCCCGAAGCCGTCTTCCAGAAGATCCGAATGTTGGCCGGCGTGGGCCCCAAACAGTGAGCGATTGCACTGTGGAGGTGCGAGCTATGCGGAATGATCGACTGTTGAAAGCTGTGTCAGATCTGGCCGTCTTGGGATACGCATGTGTTGTGTGGGCTATGCGGTGTGAAATGGTAGTGAAAGCCATGCGGTGTATATGAGCAGTATGTCGTAGGCTATGTAGTGCAAGCTAGGCGCTGCAAGCTAAGTGGTGCAAGCTAAGCCGTGGAAGCCATGCTGCGTGAACTGCAGGTGGAGGCCACGAGTGCAAGCTGTGTGTTACAAGCTGCCGTGTAAGCCGTGCTGCGCAGGCTATGTGGTGCAAGCTGCGCTGCGCAGGCTATGTGGTGCAAGTGGTGTGGTATAGCATGTGTGGGGCAGAGACTCGCCATGTAGTGCAAGATGCGTGGTGCAAGCTCAGCGCACTGGGCGCCCACGAGGCGGCACGAGCGGCAACGCGGCGAATCCTCCACCCAGCGCACGGGCTTGTTTAGGGAATTGCGACAAACAGCGTCGTCCCGATATGTTCGATCCTCTGGACGTCTGGGATCCCATGGTCACGAGGGCCTTCACGGAGGCCTGAAGAAGCCAAATATTGCCCAACAGAGATTAGCTTCTCGAACCTCGGTCCCCGAACCTCGATGTTCGAACCCGCTATGGGCGAGGTCATTTGGCTGTTCCTCTGCGGGCCCCTGGCGGTCAAAAGCGACCCGGGGACCTATCCTGTAGTTCCATCTGGCAAGGATTTCGAAGAGGGGGCAGGGCAGCCGCTGCGACGAGAAACCTCCAGGAGGCCCCCAGATTGTGGCAATCGTCGAACACGTGTTCCCTTGGCATCCGACGCCGCGAAACATATCACTTCGCAGAAAATACAACTGCGAGCTGGACCGATCCGTGAGGGACCTGGGGCAAACTCGTGCAGCTTGACAAGATTGCGACGCCAGGGTCGCAGGGATCCTCGAACCTCGATTATTGGATAAACAAGTCGGCGCTGACATAATGTCGACGTCACCCCAACATACTAATACTACGTGTGCGTCGCCCCCCCCCAGGGGCGACGCGCGCACCGAGAAATCTTATAGTATATGTTTCGTGGCAGGCGCTTTATGGCCACACAGCATGTGAAGCGATACAAGATGCGTATACTATATGTTCGGGTCGGACGCGTGCCTCTGTGCGTCCCATAATGCCTGCCCCCCAGCCGTCGTGGGTGGTTGACCGACTTGTCAAGGCCGTGGGCGTCGAGCCGGGCAAGGACTGGCCGGCAGACACGGTGCCCAACGTCAGGGCTTGGCAGAAGCTGCCGGACGGGTGGCGCCACGCGTTCAAGGCCTCGCCGTCGTGAGGGAGGCTTCCCCCCCAGTCCGCGACTACAAAGGGTGTGGTTACGCTGCGCTGCGGTTTGCGATCTGCGTCGTTGGGGCTTGGGGGACACCATGTTGTCCTCCTTCTGGGGCGATCGAAATGGGTGCGGAAAGACCGGGCACGATGCCGAACAGTAGTTCTTGTTCATTTTGAACAGGACTCGTTGTCCGCGCCGCCGCGGACGTTGATCGTTGAAGGCCCCCCTGCCCAACCGCGGCCGCTGTCGGTGTTGGACAACATGTGTTGTTGAGCATTGTACGGTGGGGGCGATGGTTAGGGAACGTGCGCGGGAGGCTTCAGACGCTGGAGGGTTCATTATCCGATGAGGACGGCGGTAATATCCACTGCCAGTCCACGATTGGAGTTCCATCGGCTTCCAGACTCTGGATTCCCTATCCAATGCTTCCTCATCCAACGCCCGCACCGTATACCTTTTCCCGCGCCGATTTCGGGCGCCAGAATTGGAGGGTACCACGTTGCCCTCCTCGGCCCTCCCCTGGGAGCGGCAAAGACCTCCGTCGAGGCCCTCGCCGGGCCCCCCCCGAGCGCGGGATTTGCAGGCCGCCGCATCCTTCGCAAACTACTGCGCCCTTCGGGGTCGCCGGCCCGGGCTGCCAACGTCTTGGGGGAGCCAGGGCGGAACGTTTCGTCGTTTTCAGCCTCCATGCAGGGGCCCTCTTCTCTGAGCGTTGGGGCGGTCGAGAAGGAACTCCCAGACCGAAAAGCCTGCCTCAGGGAAAGGGTCGCGATTTCCGGGGACCGTGTGTTGAAGAGACGGAGAGGTCCGGTGTCTCAGGGGGAGACTTGTTGGGGGCGCGCACAAGACCCCTGACTTCTTAGAAGGCCCCTGACCTTTAAGGAGGCCGGGAAGGGCCTTCGCAGACGAACTCTGAGAAGGGCGTCTCCGAAGGTTTCTACGAAGCCTCAGGGCTGAGGGCCCTTCTAAGAAGGCCCCTATTCTCTGAGTCGCCCCGCCCTTGTGCTCGACGCCACACCTGGACATCTCGCGGTTTGCAAAGCTCGAGGCGGCCAGTGGTACTCCATGTTGGGTCTCTGGGGGGGTGATTTCGGGCTTCGGGAGCGTCAGAGATCGATGACATGATCCTCAGAACATGTGTTCGCCCAATGTGCGTTTGCCTTTTTCAGCTCCGCCTGCAGCACGAAGCAGCACGCACCATCATGTCGGCCCCCATTCACAGGATGGATCCCAAGTAGATATTGACCGGGGTTTATAATGCTCCAGGATTATTGGCCCGGGTTCATAATGTCTCCCCCGGAACATTATGAATTTGGGTTTCAATGTTCTGTGAATATTGACTGGGTTTCATAATACACCCTGGTTTATGTTCTGGGGATATTGACCCAAAAAACATATTCACCTGGGTTCATAATTTTCCGGGAATATCGACTGGGGTTCACAATGTCCCGGGAATAATGAATCGGGTTTTCGTAATTCCGGAATGATAGTAATTATTATTTTCCCCCCAACCCCCGGGTTCCCCAGCAGGTTTTTCATGTCGGAATATTGACCCCGGTTCATTATCTCCAAGAGATACTAAACCCAGATTCACAATGTTCCCGGAATATTGACCCTGGGTTAGTTATTCTGGAGTGATAATGATTGAGTCTGGGGGCGCCGTTTGAGAGTACGCTCTGGACTGAAATAAACCTTGTTTCATAATTTTGGAAAATTCAACTTACGTTTTTTTTTTCGGAAATATAATGAGTCGGCGGGGGGGGGCTGAGCCCGATCCATTCACAGGACAATAACCCATAGGGTTCATCTGAAGTTAATGAACCTAGGTTTTCATTCCTAGGTAATCAACCACGGTCGACGATGATTTCGGAGGTGGCCTCCTCATTCACGCCGCACGTTGCATATCGAAGGGATTCGGTGGACAAGCACACCGTGTCGCGAACACAGTGTCTGATCATCGACGAGCGGTCGGGAGGTCGGGTGGGCCATCTCGAAAAAATCGGGCGGATTGGCGGCGCCATGCGTCCCAGGTGACGAACGCGTCGGCGAAGAGCAGCGGCGGGACTCTCCATCGTTGCTACGTTGGTCCAGGATCCGGGCCGCCAAAGTCGGGTGAGAGTAAATGGGGACGGAGGACGACGCACCTCCGTGGTCCAATGCTATCGGAAAATTGTGACGGAAGCAGACCGTTTCTTTATTGCTTGGGGCATGACGGGCGTCATGGCCCCCGCCCCCCCCCCCTTATGACGTAACGCTCCCCCCCCCCCAGTGCGCTCCGGGCACTGCCGCCGTGCGCGTTGGGATCCGCGTAGGAATCCGCATAGGACTTTGGTCCGCAGTCGTCGTCGTCGTCGTCGTCGTCGTCGTCGTCGTCGTCGTCGTCGTCGTCGTCGTCGTCGTCGTCGCTCGTGGCTCGTGGCTCGTGGCTCGTGGCTCGTCGCTCGTCGCTCGTCGCTCATCGTCGTCGTGCGCGCGGACGCGGCGGGAGCCTGTTTTTTTTTCCGGGCCGATGACGGCAATCATCTGGGGGGGGTGGAGGGGGTCGATGACGTCACGCTTCGCGCCAGCGGCGCCTGGGAATGCCTAGGAATGGCGGAGTACGGGTGGCACCAGCATGTAGGTGGCGATCTGCACCACAACGCTTGTGTACACCTTAGTGCCTGCGTGCACCACAGCGCCTGTGTACACCACACCGCCGATGTACACCACATCAGTCGCGTGCAACACAGCGTCAGTTTGTGCCACCGCGCGCGCGGGCACAACAGCTCTTGTGTACGCCACAGCGCCTGCGTACACTACATCAGCCGTGTGCAACACAGCAGTGTACACCACAATGCCTGCGTGCATTGCAGTACCTGTGTGCACCGCGGCGTTTGTGTGCACCACAGCAACCGTGTGCAACACAGCACCACAGTTGCATGTAGAACTTTAGTAGAAATCGTTATGACAAAATGGAGCGTTTGTGGATTCCACCGAAAACACGAGACAATAATCCTTAGGGACAAGGGAGCGCCAGGGGAATCTACGAGTCCTTCCGAGTTCGCCCGCATCACCGTAACTCCTCCCATCTGCGTGCAGGAGGCTCCAGCTAAATTGGCCGTCCGAGAACCAAGTGGGCCGATTCAATCGACCATTCTGCGGTGCACGCTGACTTGCGCACGTGCGCTGTAGCGTCAACCCGCGCGACAGGTGGTAAGGAGGAGGAGGAGGAGGAGGAGGAAGAGAAAGAGGACAAGGAGGAAAAGGAGGAGGAGGTGGAAGTGGAGGAGAAGGGAAGAGGGAAAAACGTCGCATCCGACTATCAGCAGTTTCCTGCCGTGGCGCTTCCGCAGCAGATCCTCAAGTACAGGCTTCTCCTACCTGTCCTATGCACGCAGGCGCTGTGGTGTACAATCGCGCTGCGTTGCACGCGGATGCCGTGGTGTAGACAGGCGCTGTGGCGTGCACAGGCGCCGCGGTGCACGCAAGCACTGTGGTGTACACAGGCGCTGTGTTGCACATGGTTGCTGCGGTGTGCACACGTACACCGGCGCTGTAGTGTACGCAAGCATTGCAGTGTACACACGCGCTGCGTTGCACACGGTTGTTGCGATGTACTCAGGCGCTGTGGTGCACACGCGCGCTGTGGTGCACGCGAGCGTTGTGGTGCACACAGGCGCAGAAGGGGCAGATCGGCACTTACATGCTGCTCGCGTTGTCGTCGTCGTCGTCGTCGTCGTCGTCGTCGCTTGTCGCTTGTCGCTCGTCGCGTCGTGCGCGCGGGCGCGGCTGTGGTGCCGGAGCCACACGGCGAGGGGGGGCGTTACGTCATACCCCTCCCCCCCCCCATGACGCCCGTCATCGCCGAACATAAGAAGCGCTCTCAAGTGTCCTGGCCGTTGGCGATATTTTCGAGCCCTTATCTGGCCCGAGGGTTGCCAAAAGGTTTTTACTATGAAAAGCCCGCCATAGGGACGCGGTCGGGATTTCCAGGGACCCTGGCGTAAACAGCACAAGACATCGGAAGTACGGGCCGCATCGCCAATGCATCGGCGATGCGGTGCGATTTCTCTTCGTGCCCCTCAATCCTGCTTCTCCTTCTAGGACTGTTTGGCCGGCACAACGTTTCGCCCACCTCGTTGTCTGAGGGATTGGATATGATTTCTTCTCCGCGCGCCGGGAACGGCGTGTGGCTTTCCGATCCAGTCTTGCACACTGCCGGCTGCGCCTGGCCTTGGGCCCGAAGGTGCCGCCCTGCCATCGGACGATGGTAAGCCAATTGAATTAAGTTGAATTGCCTGCGCTCCCCTCCGAGCCTGCATGCATGCTGGTGCGGGGTGCTTTTTTAACCTGCATGTATGCGTGCTTTGCTTTCGCAATATTCAACCTCCTCCTCGCCGTCATCACCGCCATCATCGTCATCATCGTTAGCGTCATTACCACCATCACCGTCATTATCCTCACCGCCAGTCATTGGATTTGCTTCACCATCGGTATCATTGTCATCATCATCGCCATCATCTTTTTTCCTATCGAAGCTACTGCGCCCTCATCGTCATCACGATTGTCCCCATCGTTAGCCTCCCTTCCCCCCATCGCCATTACGTATCCCGTTGTTTGTGGCAATCCCCGCCACCGTACCACCCCAACATGATCCATGGCAGCCGCTTGAATCGATGAAGACGACGATGATGGTAATGATAGTGATGATGATGCTGATGATGATGGTGATGGTGATGGTGGTGATGATGATGATGATGATGATGATGATGATGATGGTTGTGAGGATGGTGCTGGTGATGATTATGACAATCATAATGGGGATAGCGATGATGGTGATTATGGTGTTTGTGGTAGTATGGTGATGAAGATTATTACGAATAATATGGTCATGATGATGATGAGTACGACGACGACGACTAGGATGATGGTGAGTGCGATGCTGATAATGACGATGACGATAACGTCAACGATGAGGATGATGAGTTTGATGATGATGGTAATTGTGACGGTGGTGGTGATGATGGTAATTGTGACGAAGGTGGTGATGATGATGATGAGGAGGATGATGACGATGATAGAGGATGATGGTCGGGTGGGGAAGGGATGAGGAATATTAGAATGGTGATGGTGGTGATGATGACGGTGATGGTGTCTGTGATGGTGATGGTAATGGTGATGAGGCTGATGATGATAATTGTGGTGGTGGTGAGGATGATGGTGACGGCAGCGATGATGATCATGAGGGGGACGAGGACGATGATGGTGGTGATGATGATGAGGAGGAGGAGGAGGAAACCGATGACGACGACGACGACGACGAAGAGGAACCTCGTCACACGTGACACCTTTTGTCTTCATTTCCGCAGGGGCCACATGGACCTCATTTGATCTGTCTTTGGTTGTTCCTGAGCTCCTGAGGGGCAGTCGTGGGGTTCCCTTGGGGGCGCTCTTGGGCCGTCTCGGGACCCTCTTGGGGCTCCCTTCGGGCGTTCGTGACCGTCTGGGGAATATTGGGGGGCCGTCGTGGGGCCGTCTTGGGACGTCCAGGGGTCCTCTGAGACCGTCTTGGGCTCCGGAGGTCTTTTAGGGCCAGCTTGGGCCCTCTTGGGTCCGTCCTGGGCTCTCCAGGAACCTTCTTGGGCTATCTTGAGGCCGTCTTGGAGGCCTCTTGAATTATCTTGAGGCCCCCTTGGGCCGTCGTGGGACCATCTTGGAGGCCTCTGCGGCTGTCTTCAGCCGACGGAAGGTCGAAAAGGCAAGAATGCGACAATCCTACAAAAATATAAAGAAAATCGCTGATTGTCGCCTCTTCGGGCCTTGCTCGAGGCTCCCTTGGAGCCCACTTGGGGCGTTTTAATAGCCTCTCGGACGGTCCTGAGGCCATCTTGGGCCGTCTTGAGGCCATCTTCGGCCGCCGTGAAGCGCTCGGGGGCTGTTTGGCCTCATCATCCCCACCACCACCACCACCACCATCATCATCGTCATCATCATCATCATCATCATCATCATCATCATCATCATCAGCGTCAGGGTCAGCATCATCATCATCAGCATCTGCATCCGCATCGTCATCGTCGTCATTGGCACCATGAGCATCACCATCATCAACCGCATCATCAGCATCATCAGCATCATCATTATCATGATCATCTGCCGCATCATGATAATATTCATCCTCGTCGTCATCATCACTATCAGTATCACCATTATCGTCATCATCATCGTCACCACCACCGCCATCATCATAATCATGTGCCATCATCATCATCGTCACCACCACCGCCATCATCATCATCATCATCGTCATCATCATGTGCCAACTGTGCCAGCTGTGCCGGCTGCGCAAGTGGTGCTGGTTGTGCCGGTTGTGATGGTGATTGTGATAATAATTATGATGCTGACGATGATGACGATGATGATGATGACGATGATGATGTTGTTGATGATGATGATGGTGGTGGTGATGATGCTGATTATGATGATGATGACGATGATGGTGGTGGTGATGACGATGACAACGATGATGATGATGATGATGTTGATGATGATGATGATGACGATGATGATGTTGATGATGATGGTGATTGTGATGGTGATGGTGGCGACGGCGATGTTGATGATGATGACGGTGATTGTGACGGTGATGGTTATGATGATGATGCTGAGATGATGATGGGGGTGCGGAGAGAAAAAGGAGGAGGATGAGAAGGAAGTTTGTGGCGAACGCGAGGGATGAACAACGTGATAGCGATGATGATGATGCTAATGCTCATGATGACGATGATGATGTGATGGTGATGATGATGTTGATGCTGATTGTGTCGATTCTGATGATGGTGGTGATGATGAGCCTGATGATGGTGATGACACTGATGACTGTACTGAAGATGAATGTGACGATGCTTGTGATTGTGGTGATGGTGATGACGATGATGGGAATGATGATGTTGGTGATGGTAGCGGTGATGATGATGATGATGGTGATGATGTTGATATGATGATCAGAGGGGGACAGGGACGAGGATAGTGGTGATGAGGACGATGAAGATGACAACGCCGACAAAGAGGAAACCCGTCACACGTGACACCTTTCGTCTTCATTTCCGTAGGGGCCACATGGACTTCATTTGGTCCGTCTTTAGGTTTTCCTGAACTTTTGAGAGGCAGTCTTGGGGTTCCTTTGGGGCCTTTCCTGGCCGTCTTGGGGCCCGCTTGGGGCGTCTTGGGGCTCTCTTGGGACGTTCGTGACCGTCTAGTGGGTATTCGGGGGCCGTCGTGAGGCCATCTTGAGCCGTCCAGTGGTCCTCTTTGGCCGTCTTGGGCCCCTCTGGAGGCCCTTGGGGGCCAGCTTGGGGCCCTATTGGGCCCGTCCTGGGCTCTCCAGGGACCCCCTTGGGCTGTCTTGAGGCCGTCTTGGAGGCCCATTGAGCTAGCTTGAGGCCCCCTTGGGCCGTCGTGGGGCTATCTTGGAGGCCTCTTGGGCCGTCCTTGAGCCGTCGGAAGGTCGAAAAGAGAGTCGGAATGAGAGTCATCGTCGTCTTCGTCGGTGTCGGAGTCGTCGGAGTTGTCGGGGTCGGAGTCGGAGGAGTCGGAGTCGTCGTCTTCGTCATCGTCGGAGTTGTCGGACTTGTCGGAGTCGGAATTGTCCGAGTCGGAGTCGACTTCGTCGTCGTCGTTGTCTGAGTCTCAGTCGTCTCCGTCGTCGTGGTGGTGGTCGTCGTCGTCGTCGTGGTCGTTGTCGGCGTAATCGGAGTCGGACGAGGAGCTGGAGCCGACGGAGCCGGAGCTGGAGCCGGAGCCAGAGTCGGAGTCGGAGTCGGAGTCGGAGTCAAAGTCGGAGTCGTCTCCTCGCCGCCCGATGGGCCGTTGCGTGCTGATTTCGTCGCGTACTTCACTGGAAGTCACCATCATCACCATCAGAATGACCACCATCATCACCACCATCATCACCTTAGTGTTCATCATCACCGTCATCACCATCGTCACCATCGTCACCGCTTCCGCCGTCATCATTACCATCATGAGGATCAAGACGGCGAACATAAGGCGCTTCGAACCTGCATGAATGCATGTTCGAAGAGCAGCTCGAACCTGCATGCGTGCAGGTTCAACTCGGCACGAGTGAGGTTCCACTTGGTTCAGCTGGCCCGTCGTCTGCAGTCTAGGCGGAACGTAGCCGCTCGCTCGCTCGACGTCGCTGGGGCATCGCTGGTGCATCGCCGATGTCCTCCGGTCGCCGAGCCCAGGCAATCTGGCCGCATCTGGGGTGGGCTCCAAGGAGGCGTCATCAAGTGGCACAAGAAGGACCTCGAGGAGTACCTCGGCAAGGAGTTCCCGAAGGACGGCGGCGAGCGCCCGCGCTTCATGTCGGCTCTCGTGTGCAAGGACTTCCCGCCCAAGGAGATCATCCGCCGCACTGCAAAGAAGGACTCGTCGCCGTACGTCCTCAAGCGGTGCGATGACCTGGCAGGCAAAACAGTCGAGTACGCTCTGATGCAGTTTACGTACAAGAAGAACGGGGCGGACCTGCCCTATGCTTAGTTGCCCTGATACGCCCGTTTTGAAACGCAACACGTCCGCAGGGTGTGGCAGCTCCCCGACCCCACCCCGTGAACCTCCCATTGTTGTTGTGTTTCTTGTTTGTTATTAATGTGTTCCTTCGGATTTTTGTTTCGAGTGTTTTGCATCGTTTTGTTCGGGGGCAGTCCTGGGAGGGCCCCCCGACAAACAAAAACACTCGGGTTTTTATGTGTGTTGTTCGGGGGGCTCTCAGGCCACGCCAGTCTCTGGGGGAAAACAGAAAAAAAACACTCTGCGTTTTCTGGGTTTTGTCGAGGCTTTTCTGGTCAGCCCACGCTCCGTTGGGGGAAACCACCGACCCCCCCCTACTCAAGCTTTTTTTATGTTTTTGTTCGGGGTTTCTCCAGCCACCCCACTCTCCGAGGAAGGACCCCCCCCGACAAAAATCATTTCTCGTGGGTTCTTTGCAAATAATCGTTGAAAGGTTCGCCGGCACGCAAGAATAAACAGTCGGCGTTCAAACATTTTGTTGTTTTGAGGTTCTCCAGCTACCCCAGGCTCTGGTGAGGAAACCCCGAGAAGAACCTCTCGTGGGTTCTCCCGCCACTCCAGGCTCGCGGGGGGGGGGGGGGGCAGGCGCCATGTGAGCTCCAGCGCCGATTCAAGAAATCCGCGCGGAGATCCCAAATGTTTATTTACATGCCGCTTGTTGTTCGTCTATATTATATACCTATATACCCCTCAGGGGTGACGTGAGAGGGGGAGGGGCTCACACGGGGATGCCTAGGCGCAGAGGGGCAACGGTGAGATGTTTTAATGTTGTTTTTGGGCACCTAGAACCGCTTATCGAGCCCTGGGACCATCAAGACCAGCCGCCAGGGAAGTGGACGGGACCTTCGGTGCAGCGGGTGGACCCCCACGCTCCCATTCATCGCCGATGGGGGTCGGATAGGCCACCCTGGCTGGATTGTCTTCGACATTCTCCCTGGGAGAAGTCCAGTCCGCCATATGCATCAATTCTGGGCCCAGGACGGGCTCGTCCAGGATCGGTGAGTTGGATCAGTTGTCCTATCCCGACGAAACAGTGTCCAAGCGGCGTTCGGCCGAGCGATCTTCTCTTGTTGCAGCTCCTTCCTGATCTGTCGATTGCGTGCGCATTTTACCCCCTTCGGTCCTGCCTCTCAGCCTGGAGAGGGGGCGTGGGGTGGGAAAGCCCGCGGAAGAGCAAAAGGATGTGGAGGGAGGGACAGGGAGCAATTGCACGCATGATTAGTTCTACACGTCCGTGAACGATCACATCCCCCTGAGTTGCACATCCGTACGCGTATCGAATTCTAGACGTTTCGGGTAACCCCACAAGCCCATCCAGAAAGAATGCCCAGACGCATTGTCCTGATCAGAGGTGTGGAGGAGCACGTAGTGGCATCGTGTGCTGGGGAAGCCGTCGTACCCCAAGAGGGGGAGAATGGAGGATGACTTGGAATCGGAGGGGAGGACGAGGAGGGGAAGGGGAAAAGGGATGAACAGGCAGGGGACGAGCGGGAGCAGGAGGCGAGCAGAATTGCCAGAGGCCTCTTGGATCGGAGTCTCTTCGGGTGTCTCTTGACTGCTTGTGTGGGTCCTCTTGCCGCGTCTTGGTGGCCTTTTGGCGGTCCTGGGGGCCTCTTAAAGCGTCGTGGGTGCCTCGGGTGAGCCTCTTGGTTCCTCTTAGGGGTCTCTTGGGAGCCTGTTGGGGGTCTCCTTGGAGCCTCTTGAGGCCTCTTGGGCGGCCCTTGGGGCCCTCTTGGTGCACTGTGGCAGGCGTCGGGGGCCATCTTGGAGGTGATCGATCAAAGAAGCGGCGGGAGTACCTTGATCCCACCCGCCCCAGGAAGCCACATTTGGGTTAAAGCCGTCGTGCAATCAGCGAGTTGTGCCTTCTCGCCGAGGCCGTTGTGGACGCCCCCACGCGTCGATTCACGCACACCGCCCGCCCCCGCCGCACGCTCCCGCCGCCTGCCGCCCGCCTCGTTCGCCCCGGCCGCCCCGCCCGCTTCCCCATCGCCACACCCACTACTCCATCGCCCCCGTCTCCACCACAGCACCCAGTACTCTACGGCCTCCGCTTCGAAGGCACTGCCCAGCACTCCCCAGCCCCCGTCTCGAGCACATCACCCAGTACTCCACAGCGCAAGCACCAGTACTCCACAGCATCCGTTTACAAGACGGCCCGCCCGACCGACCCCCGCCCGCCGCTCTTCGCCCGCCGCCTGCGCGCCGTGCTACTGTTTTCAACACAACGCCCAGTACTCATCAGCATCCATTTCCAGCACATCGCCCAGGACTCAACAGCCTCCGTTTCCAACGCAACACCCAGTACTCAAATGCACAGCGCCCAGTACGCCACAGCCCCCCGTCTCCAGCAGACGCCAACACTCCACAGCATGCGCGTTCCAAAACGGCTTCTTTAGCAGGTGCACTCCCTACCCGATCCCGCCCGCCGCGCTTCCTTGCGCGACACAACACCCAGTACTCAACAGCATGCGTCTCCAACGCAACGCCCAGTACTCAACAGCATCCGCTTCCAACACAACGCCCAGTACTCAACAGCTTCCGTCTCCAACACTGCACACAGTAATGAACAGCATCCCGCTGCAAGAGAGGTCATTGACTTTTCGATCCGCCCGCACGCCGCCCGTCGTGCTTCCGTGTTCAACACGATACCGAGCAGTCGAGAGCACCCACCTTCAATACCCAGGACCCCGTACTCAGACACAGCCTCCGTTCCCAACACGACACCCAGTGCTCAACAGCCTCCCGCTGCAAGAGAGAATTTTGATTCTGATTACCATCCCGATCCGCCCACCCGCCGCTGGCCCGCCGCCCGCAGCCCGCCCGCCGTCCACCGTGCTTCCGCGTTGAATACAACACCCAGTATTCAACAGCAACCGCCTCCAGCACAGCACCCAGTACTCAGCAGCCTCCGTCTCCAACACAATACCCAGTGCTCAACAGCATCCCGCTGCAAGAGAGAATCCCCAGGAGGTCTTTCGAGTCCGGGTCTGCCGGCCCGCCGCCCGCTCGCCGCCCGCAGCCCCCCGCCCGTCCACCGTGCTTCCATGTTCGAAAACCAACTATTCAACAGCGCCCCGCTGCAAGGGAGAATCCTTAATATCTCTGTTTAAATCCCGATCCGTTTGCCTGCCGACCGCCCGCTGCCGCTGCCGCCAGCCGTGCTTCCGCGTTCAACACAACACCCAGTACTCAACAGCATGCGTCTCCAGCACGACACCCAGTACTCGACAGCCGCCGTCTCCAACGCATCACCCAGTAATCAACAGCATCCCGCTGCAAGAGAGAATCCTTTGTAGTTGTATTCAGTCCCCAGCCGTCCGCCAACCCCGCCCCCCGCCCCCCGCTGTCCGCCCGCCGTGCTTCCGCATTCAACACAACACCCAGTACTCAACAGCATGCGTCTCGAGCAGAACTCCATGGACTCATTCAGCCTCCGTCTCCAGCCTAACACAGTACTCCACAGCTTTCGATTTCAAGACTGATTCCTTTGGAGCTGCATTAGAAACCCGATTCTGCCCGCCGCCCGCCCCCGCCGCTCCGCACGCCGCCCCGTTGGCTTTTTCAACGCCACACCCGGTACTCCACAGCCCCCGCTTCGAACACAGCACCCAGCACTCCACGGCCTCCGTTCGGGGATGTGTTCCTTCGACGACCTTTGCAAAACCATTGGCGATCTCGCGTGTGAGCTTTCGGGGGGGTCCACCGCACCCTTCCCGCCAGGGTCCAGGGGGGGAAAACATACGAAAAAAGGCCTTCGGGGGAGAGTGCGGTGGTTGTGGTAGGATTTTCTTAGATTTTCTGGAGGTTCTTCGGCCGCCTGAGGCTGCGGAGGGGGAAACTTCCAAGAAGCCTCCGTCACAGGGCATTTGTGATGGTTTTGATGATTGTTCCCGGGGGGGTCCCTCGGCCACCCCAGGCTCTGGCGGGTGGAAAGCCATAGAAAACTCACGACTGGGAGGTTCTCGAGGGTTCTCCTGGCGTCCCCAGGAGTCCTGGCAAAAACGCTCATTCAGGGGCTTGTCTCGTGTGCTTTGAGGGCTCCCCCTGGGCATGCCTAGACTCCGCGCAACATTCGGAGGTTTTTCAAGGACTTGTCGGTCATCCCCCAGCCTCCCCAAGAACCTTCCAACAAACCTATCCAAACAAAAACCCTCACTTTGGTTTGTTGTTTCTGAGGTTTTCATTGGGTTTTCCCGCCGTCCCATGCTCCGGAGGGGGGGGAATTCCAGAAAAGCCCTTCGCGATGAGTTTACTATATGAGTTTTAAAACGATTGTTAGAAGGCTCTCCGACTACCCCAGGCTCCCGGAGGGAAAAACTCTACGGTTGTTCGAAGGCTCTCCGGCCAGCCACCCCAGGCTCCAGTGGGAAAACTCAAGAAGCAAAATCAATCGGGAGTTATTCGATGCTTTTTCGTAGGTTCTCCAGGCGCCCCATGCTCTGGGGGTGGGGGGGGGGGGGCGCAGAACAAAAAACACCCACTCGGGCTTTTGTTCCTGTAGTTTTCGGGGGGTCCTTCGTCGGCCCCCCTTCTCCCGGGCCCAAGGGCAGCCACCCCCGAAACGCCATCCACTGGAGGGCTTTTTTTCGCTGGCTCTAATTTTTTGGAGCGGCCTCCCCAGGCCTTCCAGGGAGGGGGGGGGGAGACCGCCGTCGAGTTCTCCGGCCACGGGGGGGGGAAATTTGGGGAACAAAAGCCCACGCTGAGTCGGCGTTGAGTTCCCTGGCCAAGGTGGGCGGGGAAACTTGGGACAAAAACCCACGCCGGGTTTTTTCTTCGGTGGTGTGCGATGGGGTGAAGTGAGTAGGAGAAAGCCTTCTCAGAAGGCGGCGGGACTTCTCAGAATCCCTCGCGTCTTCTGAGAAGTTGATTATGTCTTCGAGGAAGGCTTCGAAAACTTCTCAGAAGACCGGGGGACTTAACCTTCTGAAAAGGCCTTCTCCTTCTCACTCTCCCCCCTCGCTCGCCGCCGATTTCAGGAGCCTGGGGTGGCTGGAGATCGCGGGCAGGAAGCATATTATCAGTACCCACGGCCTTGCGGGTTGGGCCCCTGGGCCACGCCCACAGTGGTACGGGCGTGTTTTCGCGGACGCCCCGCGCGGAACGCATCCATGCGGCCGCGTATCCACGGGATCGAGCCCGGGAATGCAGACCGTGAGGGCGTGGTCGTGGACACGTTCGCAATTCGTAAGGAGAACTTTCGAAAGAACAACCAGAGCAAAAACCTGAGTGTTCTTTTTGTGTTCGCCCCCCAACGCCTTGGGTAACCGGAGGATTGAAAACTCCCGAGTGGAAGGTTTTTTTGTGGTTCCCGCCCCAAGAGCCTGAAGTGACGGAAAAAACAAGGGGAACAAGTAGTTGTTCTTTTCTCAGGCCCCCCACTCCTGAGCTTGCAGTGGGCAGAGAACCTCCCGAACGGACAGGTTTTCTGGGGGCTCCTCCTGGAGCCCTGAAAGACACCCGAAAACCCCCGAGTGAAGGTTTTTTCCAGCGTTCTCCCTTCCCCAGAGACTGGGGTGGCCGAAGAGTTTTGGAACACACATGTTCGAAAAACCTTCGAGTGTGTTCCCCCCCCCCGGAAAATGTTAAACAAACTCCCGAGCGGGAAGGTTTGCAAAGGTTTTCGCGCCCAGGGCCTGGGGTGGCCAGAGTATCTTGCCCAAAATCCCAAACAAACCCGACACAAGATTTTTCGGTGCACGGTTTTGCCCCGTGGAGCCTGGGGTGGTCGGAGAACCCCAGGACAAAATCCGAGTGGGTGGTTTTTATTGGATTTTCATTCCGGAGCTTGGGGTGACCGAAAAACCGTCCAACAATTTGTATAACAAAAACGAATGTTTCGATGGTTGTCCCCCTGGAGCTTGGGGTGGCCGAAGATTCCCGGGTGGTTTTCCCGAACTACGATTTGGGGGGCTTTGTTTGACCACCCCCGGGACCCCCCGAACTTCCCCCGGGTGTTCTTTGTTGTTTGTGTGTGTGTGTGTGTGTGTGTGCGTGTGTGTGCGTGTGTGTGTGTTTGCGTGTGTATGTGTTTTAGTCTGTTTGACTTTTCCGAAATCGTATTGTTTTCAATTGTGGAGCCACAGACTCTATCCCAAACAAAAACCAAGCTCCGCCCCCCCCATGGGCTCTGGGGCGGTCAACCCTCGAGAACAACCCATCGAGGTTTTTTCTTTTGGTTTTCGGGGGGGGAATCCCGGGGGGGGTCTAGGGGATTCCCGCACCGGTCTCCAACACGTACCTTGATCCCCTGATCAAAACGTCCGTGTTTACACGCTGCGCGTTGGCTGAGCATCTCGGCCCGCGTTTTGGCGCACGGTCCAATCTACGGGCGGAGCTTTGTGCCGATGCGCGACTGTTAAGTCGGGTGGCAAGTTTTTCGATTATGGTTCGATTATGTTTTACACGCTATTATTAAAGTAATGCAGAAATAATCGTCAGTGGATGATTTTTCTATCATGTCTGACTATTGCTGAATATTTTTGGCTATGCCTCATGCTTCTTCCAAGCTTCGCCTGTAGGAGGACATGCCCGACCTAACGCTACTGCTTGCAAATTGCGTACTGGGGCGGCTAAGGCCCTACGGCCTCAGCGACCTCAAGTACGACATCAGGAGCGGCAACCTCGAGCTCGGCAAGGCGGCCTCGGGGGCCAAAACACAGCGCAGGCAGACGCTTCGGACGTCCGCGGGCGGCAGGTCTCCGCACTCCTCCCCCCTCCTTTCAGGAGGACTGAAAGCACACAGACGCCTTTGAACGTCGTCGTCCAGGAAAGTATGGGAATTTAAAGGAAGTGGAGGGGAAGACGAAGGTCGAGAAACTGTAGCCAAAGACTGGGAATTCTGGGATTAGTGTAAATTAATGTGCGCGTCCCTGGGCCCCCTGACCCTCGCCAGACCACCAGGGCGCTGACGAACAACACTCGGCGCTCGACGCTCGACTCTTCTCCCCACACCGCAGACGACGAGCGAGCAACACACACACACACACCCATGCCCATAGGGGGGTTCGAGGGAGGAGGACTGGCCATGGGCGCGGGCACGGGGGGTCGGACCCTGGTGGAGGCTCCCGTTCGAGCGGGGACCCGCATCCGACAACACGCGCCCACAGTCTCTTCCGTCCCCCTACGGGTATGGGCGAGTGATGCTCGTTCCTCAGCAAAGGCATCGGTCAACCGCGGACGTCCGAAGTCTGCCTCTGTGGCCGTCTGCCCCCTGTATGTAAGGCCGCTGGCGCGGCGGCGGCGAAGGCTGGGGCCAAGAGGGCCGCGCTCGGCAAGACGGGGAAGACGGCCGCGGGTGCGCCCGCCGGGAAGGCCGGGCTCCGCACACGAGTCGCCACGCAAGAGAGGGGGGCTAGTTATCTTGAGGGAAAATGGCCTTCAAGGTTTGCACCACTTGTGGCCTCCCTGGGCCCTCCACTCAGGGGCAAGGACAGGGGGGATAGGCGAAGGGGGGGACGCATCGACGCCCACTCGCCCACTGCTCGCCGATGGGGGTCTGAGAGCCCCACCCTGCCGAGGAACGTGCGGACTCACCATCGGGGGCTTCTCGCCGATCTGTCGGCGAGGTATCGCCGATGTCGGGTCGATGTTCCCCCCCCTGAGCCAGTGCTCCCCTGCCGAGGCCCCTCATCCACGGGACCCCGGGAACGCCCCAAGAACGTCTCAGGAAGAACGGCCGGCCCCGAGGAAACGCCCAGGGTCAAGGGCGCCTCTCCCGCAGGGCCCCGCACCTTCATGCCAACAGCCTCGCTTCGCGTGCAAAACGGTGATGGGGGTGGGGGCGTGGCGACAAGGAGGGAAGAAGGCCGCCCGGCGCGGTCGCCGGGAAAGCTTGGCTAACTCGGGCATGTCGTCCTACAGGCGGATGTTGGAAGAAAAATGAAAAATGGTCAAACATATTCAAACATAGTCAGAAATAACCGAGAATCGCCCCCAGACTATTGTTTGATTCTTTTTGGATATTCCTCCTGTAGGGTCTGGGGGCGATTTTTCTTTCATTTCTGACTATGTTTGAGTATGTTTGATTATGTTTCCTTTTCCTTCCAAAATCCGCCTGTATGAGGACATGCCCGACCTAAAGCTTGGCCCCTGGCACAGGGTGCGGGGCGGCAGGGCAACGAGGGGAAATGTTCCTGGCCGGCGGCTCAGAGACGGGGCCCTGTGGGATGAGGCCTTCAAGTTAGGAGATGGATCACAAGCTGAGCCTTCACTGTTGGGGGCCACTCGTCCTTAGGGCCCCATCCCTCAGGGCCCCGCGCTTGAATTGCCGGCTTGAGGCGGCGCCCCCTCCTCCCCCTCAGAGGTCACCCGCAGGGCCGCTCCGAGAGGCTCTTCGCGGGGACGCGGAAGAAGGGCTCAGCGCTAGCGTCTAGGCCTCCTAGGTGGGGTCGGAGTAGATCGGGTCGGAGGATCGCGCCGCATCGCCGATGCATCGGCGATGCGGCTCGAAGTGGAGCCCGAGTGTCTCCACGCCCGCGTCGCCGATGCACCGCCGACGCCGCCGATGCACTGGCGATGCGGCGCCATCCTCCGACCCCAGCGACTCGGACCCCACTGTGGTGGCCTCTAGATCCCCCCGACACCCCTCTGGGCTGCCGGGCTTGGGAGCCGTGCGAGGCCGACCCATCCTCTCTCCTCCCTCCGCCGGCCCAGGTCGGGGGAGCCCCTCCTCCGCGGCCGGGCCGGACTCGCGAGACGGCCCCCGCGGACCCAGGTCAGCGCCCGGCCGGGTTACGGTCGGGAGCTCTTGGGCAGGCTGTCGCTCCGCCCGTTTTGGCCCACCACGCTTCGGCGCGACAAGCTATCCACGTCCCTGTCCCCAAGCGTCAACGTCCTGGGCCTTTCGGAGCCCCCCCGCCCGACGGAGCGGAGCGACACGTTACATACATTCGCAGGGCATAGCACCGTGTCGCCGGGGCCGCCGCCGCGGCACATTGAGCAGAAGTTCCCGACCGCAGCGCGTCCCTGACCTCCGCCAGGAGCCTTCTGGGGAGGGGGCCGCGACCCAGAGGGTGTTGCCCCCCTCCGAGGACACGTTCCGCCCGCTCGCCCTAGGGCGTCCCGTGATCGCCGTCGTCCGGAGTGGCATTTGATGCGCGGGTTTCTCAGGCTCCCAGCGCCTTTCAAAATTCAAGACATAAGCGTTTCGTTGTTTTTGGCCTGGGGGGCCCTCGCCAGTTCTTTTGACCGAAAAGCTGGCCCTGGGGGCAGAGTCGGGGCTTCCAGGCATCCCGTCTTCCAACAAATCCAAGCAACGGGTGTCTGGGTTCGGGGGGCGCGGACCAGATCCAAAACCTCTGCTGTCGCATCGCATGCAACGGTCCTCTGGCCGCGCACCAAAGGCCACTCGTGCATAGGGCCACCTCTGCGGTTACAGTCAGGCAGGATCATAAGGATGAGTAGCTCTCCAAGGCTCTCATTACATCCCTCCATCTTCGGCCCATCCTCTGCCACCATTGCTGGCCCTCCGTCCATTCTTGCGTCTTCGCCCTAGCAGCAAGCCCTCTGCACCCTTGCCGCGTATCCCTACCCTGTGATCCCGTCGCGCTGTGGCCGAGACAGGCGCGGAAGGTTGCCGCCGGCGTGGCGGCCGGGCGGGCCGCCGCCTCGGCGAAGGGCGCCGCAACGAGTCAGCGGGCGGCGCCCGCGGCGGCGCGCGCCGCCCCGGCGGCCAGGGCCCAGGGAGACGAAGCTGCGGGCGCCAAGGCCGCGGGGGGGAGGGCACGCACCACTTCCGGGGCAACGTCAGGGGGTGGGCCCAAGGCTTAAGGGGAACGCATCGAGTCCCAATTGTCCACTCATCTCCGATGGGTGCCCGACAGCTTGCCCCGCCCAAGAAAGTGCGGTTGTGCTAACGGCAGCCTATCGCCGATCCGCGGGCGTTGCACTGGCGATCCCAAGTCAATGTTCCCACCCTGAACCAGCCCCCCTGTACCATTCCGTTCTATTACTTGTGAATAAACCCCCATACCTTTCCTACCCTTTCCTGTGCCCGCTGCCCCTTTCGGCTCGCAGGTATTGGCTACCTAGTTGGTAACACGCCTCGACAGCAGGACTTGTGGAGAAGGGTAAAACCTTCACCATCGCTTTTCATTCTACGGCGCCACCTTCACCAGCGGATACTCGGGAGGGAATTGGCCCTCCGGTCCACTCGCCCCCTCACTCAGGGTATCAGCCTTTTCTTGTCTTATCCATGGTCGGCGGCAGCCCTGGCGCGGCGGGGCTCCGGCTCTGCCCAGAAGGCGACCGCCCCGCCTCGTACGCGTGTGCCGCCTTCTGCGGCGGGCGTTGCTGACTCCCCTGCATCGCGGGTCTCGGCGCACAGTCTTTCGAGGAGGTTCTACCTGACAGGAGTGACGCCGCCATTGAACCAATTCTTCCAGACACTTCCGACATGTCTGTGGATTTGATCGATTTGGCACCTACTGGCGATGCCTTCGGTGATCCGCCCTTACACGCCGCCCCCAACTTAGGGACCATCGTCTGGAGCTCTCGATCAGTTCGATCAGCGCTTGCGGGGGGGAGCCCCTGCAGGCGACAGCCACAGTGGATAGAGATACTCCCAGGATGACCAGTGGATGCGCTCGCTCCAGCGGGCCGTCAAGACCCAGGACGCTCGACTCCAAGGAGTCCTTGACCCCAGAGGTCAAAGCTTGCGGGGAGGATCTCCTGCAAGCGCCATACGTATGGTCGGTAACACACCTCAGGGACTCCCTGCCCCTCCAGGTTTTCGGGCCATGGTTGGTCCTCGTGTATCTTTAAGGTGGGCACAGCACGCTTCCGCTAAAGAGCATGGGGGTCGCGGTTGACTGGGTACGAGTTGTGGAGTCTCGGCGTATGGTTGGGCGACATTTGCGCTACCTCTGTCTCTCGACTCCGTGCCGCCAGATCCGATTTTAATCACCATGGATTTCGCGAGGTCGATATTCACAACATGGCCGCACAGGACGCTTACAGCCGCAGCCTTTCCAACAGGGGCCGCATTAAGGGCGACCTCGCATTGCCTCCGCTGTGCCACAACAGCACGAGGCTGAGCTGAGAGACCAGGTTGAAACATCTGCTGCACAACAGTTTTCGATTGTGCACAGATCCATCGCCGCCGCCGCTTCTGATACGGCCGTTTTGCGATTTGATCTGATCAAAGGACTTCAGAAGATCGACGAGGCCGTCCAACTCGACCGTACGGTCGTTGTTCAAGTGATCGCCCGTGTTGAAGAATCCGGAGTTTTGTGCGGACAGGACTGTGTCGAGTTCACCTCTGTCACGTCCGACGTCCAACAACTCGAGGCTAGCATCCTCGCGTTTCGAGATCCCAGCGATTCACGAGGTCGACTTACCCGTGAACAGGTTACAGTCGCTGACGCTCGCCACTCCTGGCACAGCTCCCGCCGCCGTCCACGGACATTCGCGCAGTTGCCTACGGTCCGAAACCCGTGACGTACAGCAGGAGTACGGCAAGCTTTGCCAAGCTGAGAACGCTGTTGTTCAACTTTTCAACGGCTCCCACATCGCTACCACCCTTGCGTTACCCGCCAGAGTCTTCGCGCCCGAACAGACCGTGACTGAGCAGCGTGATGTACGGACCCGGACTGGCCAGTCGGTCGCCGCTTCGGTGGACAACCCCAGCCCTTTCTGGCAATTGAGAACCGTTCTTTGCGGGCGATTGTGGGCTGCCTGCAATTTCGCGCAGTCTCCGCCGAGAAGATGCCTTGAAGGCGCGGGCAACGGAGGTTCAGACCCACCTGGCGACTCAAGCGCACGGACCCCGCGACTTACAGTCCACTCTGCCCGGCCTAACCTCTAAGTGTTGAGGACAGCACCCTCGGGATGCGTGGACCAGCTACAACATGATTGCGCCGACATCGATGACAAGTTGTCCGGACACATCAAAGAAACCACGCAACACCACAAACACCAACCACAACAGAACCAGAGCACATAGAGAGGACGGAACCCACGGGACCTCACCACCCGCACTGCCCGAACTGTGGCACGGATGGTGCACGCGAGGATGGTGCTCTCGAGGCTGCGATTTGCCGCGCCTGCTCGCTCCTCGCCTTTGGCTCCACAGCCACATGTTACACATGTTCCTGGTGTGCCAGCGGAGGCTCTCTTGTCACGGTTCCGGCTATGATTAAGGATCTCGGAACCATCAAGATGCTTTATCTTCCATAGATCGCCCATGGTTTCGGAAGGCATCTGAAATTGCGACGGGCTTCTCTGCGGGGCCGCCGGCAAGGCCCACCGCAGCCTACACATTCATTCGCTCCGCCGAACAACCCGGCATACAATTGGACGACTTATGCGACAGCGGGGGGCTTCGAGAATCTGGACTGCAAGCTCGCCGCCGCGCCCACATAGAGTCTTTCCATTGAATTGCGCCAAGACGTGAAACTCTCGCAGACTACAGATCACCGACAGGTGTGCGTGCTCAAAGGGCGCCAACTCTACTGGCTCATCCCACGCTCCTATGATGTTCAGCATGTTGATGACATAGTCCACGATGCCGAACCCATCGGCGCGCCTCCCATGCGTTACGACGACCTCAAACAGTTCGTGTCGGACTGGAACAATGCATCGCTGGAGCGCCGCGAAACACCGTCACCTGCCATACTGGTGTCTTCATGTCACGCTCAAGTACGCCGCCGTCCCTGGGTGGCGCGACGATCATGCTCATTACAGGCCGCTGAAGAAAACCTCAGAACGCATTTGCCCTTGGCTCCACCAACAAGTGAATCAACAGGTGCACGCTACAATCTGATTACATAGACTGCAACGTAATCGTAATCAGCGCGGACTGATATATCGCTCCACTGCCAATGCAGCGAGGCCGTCTACGCGAGATCCATGGGAACAATGCCACGTCGCATCAGCAAGGGCAAAAGAGCCAAGGGAGTCATGAGCAAGCTTCTGCATACTGGATCGGGCACTCAACCACCATCTCGCTTTTCCGCCCACTTTCACATTGCAGCGACCTAGCTTCCCGAGACCTACGACGGGACCACCCAGTTGTTTTTCCCATGCGCTTGCAAAGACGGGGTCTCGCCCCGTGGCGACCGCTGCGCCCGACCGCGAACGGCAGGCTGCAGCTACCACGCGGTCGCCAATTGCTTCAAAGGCAGCCAGGGCGCATGCCCCCGCGTCACCTGTGGCCACGTGACTCCACCTCGGAGTCGCGGCCGCCCCCCCAGCGGAGTCCGGGGGGCCGCCGCCTCCCTGGCCGCGGCCGCGACCAAACCCGCTATCCGGGAGGCGCGCGTCGACGCAGTCAGGGCGGTCGCGGTCGCAGCTCCAACCCCGTTTGGGGCCATCCTCGGCGCCGTCCATACTTGTCCAGGAATTCACGCGGGCGCGTCTGCAATCGCAGTCCATCGCGCCCGCCCGGGCGCAGCGGCCGGTCGCCCGGCCCGCCCCGCGGGCGACGGCGCTGCTTGGCGCGCGGGGTTGAAGACGCCGTGCTGGCCGTCAAGAGGACCAAGCGCAAAAAAACACGCCGTCTCTTGGGGCCTCGACGACGCCGAGGTCCACGCGCACGCCGCGACTGAGAATGCGTGGCCACGAATGGGCCCCCCAGCCAGGGCGCCCCCGCGTACTTCCCAGAACCCATATCCGAGAAATGGCGGAAAAGATCCGAGCAGGACTTGGCTGTTGCACGTTGCGAGGCACTCGTGCTGATTGGCGCCATTTGACGCGACTTGGGCTACAGGGTGCGCATCCGACCATCGCGCCAGCGCGCCCGTCCACGCCGCGCCGCGACGGGGGCCGCGTCCGACTGCGGGAGGAACTCAAGCATAGGCAATTCCGAGAAAATCGGCTGTCTTTTCGAGCTCATGGGTTCTCGACAGCAGGTCGGACCATCAGTTCGCAACGAAGGCGGCCCCGTCCGCGAGGAGACGCAGGTCATGAGCCGCGGCGACGAGCATATTTGGCCAATTGCCAATGGCGAACGCACTCTGGATGACAGATGAGGTGTTCCAGATTCCCGAGTTCAAACTTCTTAGTAACGCTGTGGCCGTAGATGATTGTCTTCCTGTTTTTTTTCTGTCAATGGCTGGAGACTACAACGCCGCGGCATCGCAAGGACGCCGCATTTGCAAGCGTCAGCCGCTGTCCCCGACGCGCTCCAGCCGGAACGAATCGACAGGCTTATCCATGGGCCCCTTCCACGGACCATTTCGCCAAGCATCGACAGGCGCATGGATGCGCGACGGCATGCGTGCCAGACCGCGACGACAAGGTCGATCTCTGGATGGGCACCTGGAGTTCTATGTCCAACAACCCCAACTAACTACGGGTATCACTTCGCTACCATTCTCTGATGGAGCGGATCAACATGGCCCTCTCCGAGCGTCGCCGAGGTAGCAGCCAGCGTCGGACCCTGCCTGGCGCCAACGTGACTGACCGCCATGTCTCCGATGGCGAGGCCGACCTCGAGCGCCAGGACGAGACGAAACAGACCCCGCACCGGGCGTTGACGCGCCGATGCCGGCGGCGGGCGAGATCCCCACCCCCGACGAGGTGGTCGGCTCCACCTTTGCGAAGGCAGCCGCTGCTGCTGCAGACGTGCCAGCATCCCGCCTGACTGAGATGCCAAGTCCGACTGGCCCGAGGTCTGTCGTGGAAGCTCTTGTCCCCGACGACGACGTCGATTCCCGTCCGCGGGGGGAGATCAAAGCACGTGACAATCCAGTCGAGGACGTGCCCAT